CCTTGGTGAACATGAAAGAACATTAAACATTAAAAAAAAAAAATCTTACCTACCCCAAATGGTGGTGTTTTTTGACAATATACATTATTTGCAACAATTATTTAATTCACAATTATACTATTGTCTAGGATTACCAAGGATGCTGAATTGCTGCTCAAAAAACATTGCTCATTATTATCATCAATGATGAAAAATTCATATTTTTGTGGAAACAGTGACACATTTTTATTGCAAACATTACCCAATTGTGACAATATAAGTCACTTTTGATCTATTTAATGCATCCTTGCTGAATAAAAGTATTGATTTCGTTCTAATTTAATGTAAATATTACACTAAGCAGCAATATTTTGGTGTTCTCCATCATGAATTCGGCATCATTCACAAACTATCACAAAGTCGTCAGAAAAACTGGTTTGGCTTTAAGATTAGAGAGATGCTATAACGATTAGAATAAGGTCTCATTTGTTAACATTATTTAATGTACGAAATAACATGAACTAACAATGAGGAATACAGTATTTATTAATCTTTGTTAATGTTACTTAATCAAATAACAGCTGTTCATTGATTGTTCATTTCACGGTGCATAACTATGTTAACAAATACAACCTTTGATTTAAATAATGTATTTGTAAATGTTGAAATTAAAGGAGTAGTTCACTTTTAGTCGAAAAGAAATTGACGTTTTTGATGAAAACATTCCAGGATTTTTCTCCATATAATGGACTTCAATGGGGTCCAAACAGTTCAAGGTCCAAATAAGAGTTTCAGTGCAGCTTTAAAGGGCTTTAAACGACACCAGACGATGAATAGGGGTCTTATCTAGTGAAATGATCACTAATTTAAAAAATAAATAAAAAGTTTAAGTTTTATAAGCTCAAATGCTCTGCTCTGTGATGCACGTTCATGACTCTCCTGTTCAAACTCAGTTGAGTCATGACTCAAACAGTCCTAGATGAATACTGTCCTTATTCATCATCTGGTGTCGTTTAAAGCCCTATGAAGCTGCACTGAAACTCTCATTTGGACCTTAAACCGTTTGGTCCCCATTGAAGTCCATTATATGGAGAAAATCCTGGAAAGTTTTCATCAAAAACCTTAATTTCTTTTCGACTGAAGAAAGAAAGACATATGGACATCTTGGATGACATGGGGGCGAGTAAATTATCAGCAAAAGTTTTATTTTTAAAAGTGAACTACTCCTTTAATAATAATAACTAAGATTAATAAATGCTGAACTAGTATTGTTCATTCTCAGAACTACTGAACCTTATTGTAAAGTGTTACCAATGATTCTCAAGGCTATACATATACACGAATGCTGTGTGTGTGTGTGTGTGTGTGTGTGTGTGTGTGTGTGTGTGTGTGTGTGTGTGTGTGTGTGTGTGTGTGTGTGTGTGTACTAGACCGTCTTCATCTTCTCCAGGTGTCTTATTTACGGCCTGTCTGCGGTGAGCGATGGATCAGCTGAGAGAAGGCCGCTCATCAGCTGATGTTTACGGTATAACCTCCTCCTCGCCCGCGGGGAACTACAGAAGAGAGAGGGAACATTAACATGTCAAATCCAGAAACGTGAGGGACACTGATTGAGGGTTTTCATCAAGATCGCTTGTTCATAGAGAAACATCTGGTAATTATTTGTTCAAACACTTCAAAATGGATCTCAGGAGAGGCTTGTAGATTTTAGTCAGCGAAACAATAACTTACCGCAGTTTAATAACAAGCTTGGGAAGGAATCAAAGGGAAATATCATTTGTCATAACGCCTCCCGGTGCTTTTTGGATGAACGAAGGCATCCCGCCTGAAAGAGACTAATAGTTATATTACAAAGATTCACAACTGGCTGTCTGTTCCCCGCGCGCCTCTCCATCCCTCCTCCTGCCGACGCGCGCTTCAGGTTCCCCCGCTTCCATCCCCCCCATCGCCCGCGAGAGATACCGACGGAAGTGAATGCTTTAAAACTTTATTAGTCGACACTGTGTGCCACATGCCGTTTCAGTAGCGCCGCCGCCAGCAGAGCCCGCGGATTTATGGCTTATGACATGCGCATATTTAATTTGTAACCTTAGGCCGGATTCACATATAGCGCCTAAAAACGCGTAGAAAACGCTGGGCGCGCCGCATTCTCTATTTTGCAAAGCGCCAGGGCGGTTGCGCTTCAGTTGGTTCTTGTCACATGACCTATTGTGTGCGTACGGTGCGCTTGCGGTATTCTGAAAAGTTGAGATGTTTTTATCTCGACGCGGCGCGGACGCGCATGGAAAAAAGGAGCGCGTCGCACCGCGACCGCACCGCTTCCATTATGAGCGCGCATACCGCGCGCCTACATTTGAAATAACGAACTTGAGCGCGCAAAAGACGCGATATGTGAACCGGCCCTTATACTTCCTGTTCCTCGCGTCTGCCCTCAGAACCGCAGAACTGTACGGGTCCGAGGGGTCAGAGGTTAAGTAAAGCAGGGGAAGTGCTGGATGCGAGGAGCCGAGGGTTGCGGTGACACGGGGCTCTCGGACGCAACGCTCCGGGTTCAAAGGTTTAGCTGTGATTCCAGCGGGACGCCGGAGCGCGCGATCACAGGAGCTCGTAAAGAGGAAAGGAGAGAGTTGCGTTTGATTTGGACGATGTTTCAGAAAGTTACAACCAGGATCCTCTTACAAGCTCTCTCTCTCTCTCGGCTTCTGTCTGCAGATCATGACACCTTTACATCCACATGCCCAGTAAACCCCCGGGGACCAGTGACCGAGCGCGTAACACGCCCCACTGGCTCCTCTGTGGCGCGCCGTCTTGTGTAAACATATAAGTTTATTTAGTGTGAAGGGCCCGTGGAGTTGGATGCTCTTGCCCCAGTAGGAGATCTTCATAAAGGCTTGTCCTCCCTGACAGAGACACATCAGACATGATGAGAGGTGAGTTAAGGCCAGACGAGACCGGACAAACGCATGGATCAATCTCACAGGCTTCAGACAGGCTGTAATGCAATTTCTTCAGTTAAAATCAATATATATATATATATATATATATATATATATATATATATATATATATAGAGGACTGTCAAATGATTAATCGCGATTAATCGCATCGCATCCAAAATAAAAGTTTCTGTTTACATAATGGGTGCACTGTGTATAATTGTTTTATATATATATATATATATATATATATATATATATAAATACACACACGTGCTTGTATATATTTAAGAAATATTTTCATGTATATACTGTTTATAGATTTATATATCATTTATATTATATATAAATATTTTATATATAAATAATATTTTTTTCTTAAATATAAATGCATATACATGTGTGTATTTATATATATAGAAGATAATTATGCACTCACATATATTATGTAAACACAAACTTTTATTTTGGATGCGATTAATCGTTTGACAGCCCTATATATATACACACACATATACATACAGTATATGTGTATATATATTAGGGGTGTAACAATATATCGTGCCACAATATATCGCAATACAAAAATGCTACAATATGTATCATGGATATAGTTCCTCAAAATAAGTTACTGTGTGATAAAAAATTCTCCCAAAAGTTTTAGTCTCAGTACTACATTAAACCACTATATATAATATTGACTAATATAATGTATAATAATTCAAAGGGGGAATATTTGTGTGTCCTGATAATGCCAAATGACTTATGCAACTTGACCAGTAAAAAGTGTCCAACATTATTTGAAATATATCTAAATATATTAAAAATATCTAGTCAGAAAAAATCATCAGCTTCAGAATAATGAATATTTTTATTCTTGTGTCTCTATTGTCCTTGGGTTTCCAGCACCAAGTCCAAGCCTAATTCATTTAAACCCACAATGTAATATCAAAGTTAGCATTTTAATCTAAATCTGTTTCTTGTATTCGTCAGACTAACATATCAATGGATGTATGGATTATACCATATTAACGACTATGCATATAAAATGGCATATGAGAATGTTTTTTAATATTTAACATTCAGACAATGACACACATCAGCTTTAATAGAGCAATGCATCTAAAAACAGTCTTTACTCTCACTGGATTATAATATTATATATTGTATTGTGTTATATTATATATTGTATACTGGCAAAAGGATTGTTTGGATCTGATATTTCCTTCTGACACACAACAGCAAAAGACATCTGGCTTAAAACCCTTTTCTTTTGTAAAAAATACTAACGGCCTAAGACTTTTGCACAGTATCTATACCCAAACGATCATGTCTCTTTAAAAATAATATCAGGAAGAGCTTTTGAACTATTTCCCAGTTTTGATATTGGCAAACCTGGTTCTGAGAACATCACAGCATATTTAATAGTGTCTATCGTCAAGGATGCAACCAAATATTCAAGGCTGGGTTAAGACAAAATTATATGAAATATCCACTAATTCAAATGTAGAAGATCAGACCACCTCAATTTCTATGATGGCCGCAGCCTATTCATTTTAGTACAGCATTGCATCACTGTTATACCAGTATGTGAAATAAGCAGTACAGACCCTAAAGGTGAAAGGTCATCTGTTTGCGTGAGCCCAGCAGGTGTTTGACTGCAACGACAGACAATTACACAAAATGAACAGCAAAACAAAATCAATTAAATGCCTTTAACATCTTCATCTCAGTGAAATCAATATGTTAGTTTGGGAGAATAGATTCATAAACATCATTCATGTGACGCATAATAACCAGTCACTGAATATAGAGTCTTATTTCGCATGAATCACCAGACAAAAATAGCTTCATGAAAATGCAACTTTCTGCACCTGTGAATTTGAAAGGACCTTTATGTTATCAGAACTAACCAAGAATAATGTTAACCAATATCATAATACGAACCGATACTGAGTTAAGTTAAACAAGGCCCCTCAATGTCCTGCATCTTCATGAGTCCTGACTCCAGCGTTTGCTGATATCTGGACGGTGACTTCCTGGCCTCCCGGGACACTCGCGTCTTGCTTTGAGTCGTGAGCGTGTCTCTGGGCTGTTGTCAAGCAGATGGAAGACATTAAGACAGACAGACAGCAGGTAAATCACAGAGAGCCAGTGCTAACCAAGAGCAGACACACACACACACTAGCGTTTAGCTTACAGCTGCGCAGGAGGACACACAGATACCGAGAAGAGTTTAAACACAAGCAGATGCTGATTTAAAGCTGAAGAGTGTCACTTTTACAACACTAGCAGTTGCACAGTACAATGATTGTTTCCAAATATGTTTCCTGTATTCGTCAGACTAACAGGTCAATGGATGCGTGTGTGGAATATGCCATATTAATGACTATGCATTGCATACTAAAATGGGAAATGAGAATGTTTTTTAATATTCAGACGATGACACACACCAGCTTTAATACAGCAATGCATACTTTAAGTAAAATCAAAAAAAATCATGCCTTTCATGAAACAGCCACAAAAACTATGATTATATTTAAATATTGTTACATTTCATTAAAATAATACAAACTTTAATTATTATTACTATATACTACTACTAATAATAACAATTGTAGTATGAATATATTTTATTGAAATAATATTTTTTTTAAATGTTTAACAATAATAATGTATTATTATTAATAATGATACAAATTGTATTAATAATAATAATAATAATACGATATACAATTGAATGATTATTCATTCCAATTATACATCATAATTAGATTCATAATAAGAACTACATTTATAATACAAAAATCTTCATTATTTTTCATCTATACTTAATTTAAATAATAATGAGGAATACATTATTGTTGTTATTTTTATTAACAACTGAACCATTTATATGTGTAGGATGATATATATATACTGTATATAACTCCAATATATTACTCAGTATATAGGGCTGTCAAATGATTAATCACATCCAAAATAGAAGTTTGTGTTTACATAATATATGTGGATGCACTGTATTTTATATATATAAAAATACACACACATGCTAGTATATAGTATATATTTAAGAAATATTTTCATGTATATAGATTTATATTATATAGAAATATTTTATATATAAATAATATTTTTTCTTAAATCTATACATGCATGGGTGTGTATTTATTTATATATATATAATAATTATACACAGTGCACCCACATATATTATGTAAACACAAACTTTTATTTTGGATGCGATTAATCGTATGACAGCCCTAATATATATATATATATATAATAATTATTTTTAGTAAACAATATAATGATAATTAACTGTGGACTGTTTAAGGAAATTGGTACTTTAAAATAGAGCATAAAATTAAATTTCAACTGTGTGTTGTGAATAATCAATTCTTCAAACCTACACTTTATACTAATAGTATTTTGAGATGAATCTGAACACTTCATATAGAGCACGATCTACCGAGGGTTCCTGAATATAACCCAGAACTGAATCTGCCATAGGAGAGAAAGATTGAGCAACAGTGTCTGCCTCCGTCCTAATACTCACGTCTGGCCTACAGAAACACACATGAGGAGCGTCTGAGAGGCTGATCCAGAGTCAGTGAGGTCTGTGAGGATCCAGCTGTGCTGAGCAGACTGTGAAATCCTCCCCGCCAAGACCAACACAAGAGGAGGGTCCCGAATACACCCGCACGCCATTGTGGAGCCCCGGCAGGCACTTCCCCTATCCCAGCATGCAACAGACTCCGTTCGCCAGGCTGACGGAGGGGAGGGGCGTATTTATTCATTCCTTTGATTTGCAGGTGAGTGTATTCTTCTTATTTCCAGCGTTAGCCATTCCCTTTGTAGTGTGTGTTCATTTAAAGACGACGCCGGCTGAAAGATTTAGACCACGAGTCCCTAAAGAGAGAAATAATAGACAATCGTCACAAATCATTGATGATTTAGATCCAAGAGTTAGAAGAGGCCTCTCATATATCAGTCGACAATCATTTCTATTTTTAAGAATTCATTTAAATAATTCAATTAAATGTATTTAATTAATATATTTTAGATATGAATCTTTATTTTTTAAATTAACAATTTATTTCTAAATATGTTTAGACATTTTTTTGTTATTAAACGAAAGCATAATATTTTTGAGAAAATGTATTCCCTTGTAATATTGTATGTCAAAGTTAAAGTGTGCGTGTTGAGTCAAACACATAATCACCGATTGTCTCTCGTCCCTCTCTCTCTCCGCGCCGGATTGCTATTAACCCCCCGAGGAGGTTCACAGTGGTCCATTGAGAGGTGGCTAAGCTAATCTTGATTGATTTTTTCTTGAACGGCACACATCTCTTTCAGTGGTTAACGTGCTATATAATCTGTAGCCTGGGACCATGTTAATTCACTCAGCTGGACCAGAGAGAAACCATTCTGTGAGAGAAGGATAACTCTATAGGTGAAGAATAAAGACACAGTGAGAGCAAATGGGCCGTGCAACTCGCTCCATGGTTTGTTTGCATTTGCTATTTGCGTTACTTGTGCATGATTGGACCTGAGAGCTGCGATCATGAGCCCTTAATAGCGCACGAGAATGACATGAAGAGCACATCTATAGAGCTGAAGGCATTGGTTGAATATCTGATCAATTTCAAAGTATACAATAGAATAATTTCAGCACGGATGAGCAACTTATTACAGGTTCCGGATGAGGATCAAACCAGCGGCCAAACAGTTTCACATTTATTACTGTATTGCATAAAAATAAAGAGAGAAAGATGGTAATGTATGCATGCATTAAAGGAGTAGTTCACTTTAAAAAAAAACTTTTGCTGTTAATTTACTCACCCCCATGTCATCCAAGATGTCCACGTCTTTCTTTCTTCAGTCGAAAAGAAATTAAGGTTTTTGATGAAAACATTCCAGGATTTCTCTCCATATAATGGACTTCAATGGGGACCAAACCGTTCAAGGTCCAAATGAGAGTTTCAGTGCAGCTTCAAACCGCTTTAAACGACACCAAACTATGAATAAGGGTCTTATCTAGTGAACCGATCGATTATTTAAAAAAATGACTCGGAAAAAATGTTTTGTTCATTTTAATGAACGAGTTCGAACAGGAGAGTCACGAACACGCGGCACATCACAGAACAGAGCAAGGCGAGCATTTGTGCTTATAAAACTTAAACTTTTTAAATGAGGTTTCGCATGATAAGACCCTTATTCATCGTCTGGAATCGTTTAAAGCCCTTTGAAGCCGCACTGAAACTCTCATTTGGACCTTTGACCGTTTGGTCCCCATTGAAGTCCATTATATAGAGAAAATCCTGGAATGCTTTCATCAAAAACCTTAATTTCTTTTCGACTGAAGAAAGAATGACATGGACATCTTGGATGACATGGGGGTGAGTAAATTATCAGCAAAAGTTTTTTAAAAAAAAAAGTGAACTACTCCTTTAATATCATAATGATTTTTGGCATAAAAGAAAACCCATGCAATGTATTGTTGGCTATTGCCACAAATATACCCGTGCTACTTGTGAATGGTTTTGTGATCCAGGGTGACATGTATCTATAGAAAGAGAGAGAGAGAGAGCTTACGTGTCAAGAAAATAATGGCAAATGGTCCTAAAACTCATTATTTCTTTATGCAAAATGTAATGTCTTTTGGTCATGGGGTGAAATATGACTTGGACATGTTTTCATGAGGTTCACCTGGTAATCGGCAGGACAGAGTTCAAGTTTGCCGCTCTGTTCGATGGCCTGCTCCGGGACCGACTCGCTCGCTCTTTCTCCATCACTCTTTCCTGTGTGCCAGTTGGCAATCCCAGGCCAGGAATCTGTCAGTGTCGATTGAGCTGAAAGGGCAGGGTCCGGGCTAAAGCAGTCGCGCTGGTCCTGGGCCCACCATTTCTTCCAAACAAGCCTGGGAAAAAAAGAAAGAGAGAGAGAGAGAGAGAGAGAGAGCACATTCCAGCAAGTAGAGCTGCCAACACCCTCCACACACACACACACACACAACTAGGTTTTTTTGCAAAGGCGAGCCATGAATGAGATTAACAAAAGGGTCCTGTAAGAGCCCTTCTTGGCCGCCTTCCATGTCAACAGCTCTCGGGGTCAAAGGTCGCACTAACTACATTCATTCCCAGCAGACCCTGCTGCTCTACAACACAAGCTGCCCGAGTCTGGCAGTGGCAGAGAGAGAGAGAGAGAGAGAGAAAAGTTGAGTTTTTCCTCTTCCAGTAATCCCCGGAGATATTCCACATGTTTCTGCTGAATTAAAGCAATATCACACCTTGCAAATGGAACGGAAAGAACAAAAAAAAAAAAAAGAGGCAGGACGGAAAGTAAAAAAAAAAGAAAAGTGGATGGAGGCAGCAAAGAAAGGAGTGTGTGCACTTTTACAGCCTCTCACACACCGAGCCGAGCACCTGATTCCACTCAACGTGCAAAAGGCCCGGAGCTTTCAGCTTAGCTACATAAAAATGTCAGTCATTTAATAGATGCACAACACACCTGGGCTGACAAGCGGGATCATGTAATCCAATTACACAGAAACGCATTAGGTAAATAGCGTGAGGACTGATAACAATGTTAAACCGCTGCCAGATTCCACTGCCAAAGCCTCGCCGGTGGAGATTGTGGAGGGTTTGGATCTTGCTGGGAATGCAGACTATATTTTTAAGAAAGCTATATGCTGTTCCACTGTCACACCACTGATTAAAAGGTTTGGGATCATTAAGAGTTCATTAAGAGTGTTACAAAAGATTTCCTTGAGAATGCACTATTCAAACTTAAATGGTTGTAATTCAAGAATGCTTTGGAATATAGACCTAAGTTTGGTCTTGTTTTAAAGGAAACACTCGGCAGATTAATGTTATGGAAGTTTACATTTACAGTAAATCAAATATACTGTGCAATATTTTTTTTTTTATAAAATCAAAGTCATACATCTAAGCAAGTTATGTTCCAAATTTGAAGTTGATGGAATGAATGTAGTCTATCTCTAGTCACACACAAACTAAACAAGGTTTAAGAGTGACGTGTATTTAAATCTAGAAGTGAATGAAAATGTGCATTAGTGACACTAGGAATTTATTATTATGCAATATGCTCTAATCCAAAGTAACTTGCATTGCATTTGATCGTTTTATGCATTTCGTGGGAATCAAACCCATGGCTGAGTGCAATGCAAAATCTGTTTTCTGGGAGCGATTCACACTCAGAAGAAGAGTGACGCTTGTATTTAGCGCTGAAAGACACATTTCTACTGTAATCTTCTTCACAATCATGTACTGTTACGTACATGCATCCTCTCTAATACTGATAATATATGTATATATATATATGAAGTGTTCAGATGCAAAAGCCTCTAAATGCCATTTCTTTCATAAAATTTTCTTCTTAATGATGATTTTTATCAAACTTTTATATTCAAGTTCAGTAATTTCACTTAAATAACAATTAATAGGTAATTATCATTGCCATTTTAGTGAAATCACTGAACTTAAATATACAAGCTTGATTAAAAATGAACTCTTCATATATATATATATATATATATATATTAGGGCTATGCAAAGATTAATCGCGACTAAATCGCATCCAAAATAAAAATTTGTGTTTACATAATATATGTGGGTGCACTGTGCATAATTTATTTTATATATATAAATACACACTCAAATGCATGTATGATTATATATAAATTTTTATACAGTATATACATGAAAATATTTCTTAAATACATACATGCATGTGTGTTTATATAAAATAATTATACACAGTGCACCCACATATATTATGTAAACACAAATTTTTATTTTGGATGCACAGCCCTAATATATATATATATATATACATACTTGTATGGCTATTTGCATATTGCTATTTGTACTATTTTCTGCTCACTGATTCAAATCTCATCTCAAAATCTCAGAATACTAAATGACTTAAAAGTAAATGAACTGAGCATCTCAGTAGAGGCTGTAACAGAGACATACAAGTGAATCCGAAATCAATACTCTTGTTAAATCATTTTCACTACGGTCTGAGTGCACCTGACACTGAATCTAACAGCGAGCATCTTCTCAAAGAGGACCGAAAAGAAGAAAAGAAGACCGGCTGCTAGTAAGAGAAGTAGAAGATAAAAAAGAATGGCCATGTGGGGGGAGGGGAGGGGAAGGTGCCAGGGGGAATCACAGATTTCTTTTTCATTTTATCCTTGATCTCTTTCTTTTTCTCTTTCAGTGAGATCCAGAGCCCCTCCCCGGCCCCCCGCAGAGCCCCAGCCGAGAGCAGCGCTACATGGGCACAACCCCGGCCAGCTGCAGGGTCCTCTGGAGCTCCACGCAGAGAGAGAAACATGTGTGAAAGAGAGAGAGAGAGAGAGAGAGACACTTGATGACAGGCAAAGTTTTTTGGGGGGGATTCGCCACTCAAAGACACAACAGAGAGAAGCAGAGTACTAGAGTTTCAAAGAAGGATTTCCACTGGGCTGGACTTCCTCTCTGGAAGTTAGCAGGAGGTCAAACGTCAGCCAATGATGTATCTTACAGTCAAACACCCAATAACCAGCCGGGAACCGTCCAATCTCGGCACACGGGACATGACGGATAGGGAGATCACTGGACACTGACAGGACGTGGAAAAAAAATTGTGTGCGAATGTCTCTAAATGAAGAACGTGGCAATAAATGCGTGCATTTACTTACACAACAATTTCTTTCTTCTTTTAAAGGAGTAGTTCACTTTTAACAAAAACTTTTGCTGATAATTTACTCACCCCCATGTCATCCAAGATGTCCATGTCTTTCTTTCTTCAGTCGAAAAATTAAGGTTTTTGATGAAAACATTCCAGGATTTTTCTCCATATAATGGACTTCAATGGGGTCCAAACGGTTCAAGGTCCAAATGAGAGTTTCAGTGCAAACTGCAAATAGTTCAAAGGGCTTTAAACGATTTCAGACGATGATTAAGGGTCTTATCAAGCGAAACGATCGCTCGTTTAAAAATAAAACAACAAAGTTTAAGTTTTATAAGCTCAAATGGCCGCCTCTGTTCTGTGATGAGCGTTCGTCACTCTCCCGTTCGAACTCGTTCATCAAAATGAACGAAGGCGAGCATTTGAGTTTTTAAAACTTAAACTTTGGTAATTTTGTTTTAAATGAGCGATCGTTTCACTAGATAAGACCCTTATTCATCATCTGAAATCGTTTAAAGCCCTTTGAAGCTGCACTGAAACTGTCTTTTGGACCTCGAACTGTTTGGTCCCCATTGAAGTCCATTATATGGAGAAAAATCCTGGAATGTTTTCCTCAAAAACCTTTTCGACTGAAAAAAGAATGACATGGATATCTTGGATGACATGGGGGTGAGTAAATTATCAGCAAAAGTTTTTTTTAAAGTGAACTACTCCATTAAGGCTCTCTTTTAAGTTTAAAAGTAAACTTTTCAGTTTTTTTTTCCCATTAGAGGGCTTTTTAATATGAAGCAACTGTTTTCTGCACTGATAATAATCATTAATGTTTCCTGAGCATATTAGAATGATTTCTGAAGGATCATGTGACTCAGCTTTTGTCTCAGGAATAAAATATATTCAAAAAGTTAATATTGCTGAATGAACATATCATTGGCCAATCAGACAGAGTCATTGGCTGACGCAGATTCAAATATTGATCTTTTATCCCAGTCCAACAATATGTTGATTTCATGTTCACCTGTTTGTTTGAGTGATATTCTTACTCAACCAATGGAGAGAGTTTGGGGCGGGGCTACCCGTTTGATTGACCAATAGAGAGCCTTAGTCCCTCCCCTCCGCTTCCGGCTCACGGGACCTTATTTCGGAAAAAAAATACGTGTGGTAGTCAATGGCGAGAGACAACTTATCTTTTTATTCCATCTGAACTGTGCCCTGAATTACACATATGATGTTTGTCAATTTAAAAGATAATTCTGAAAGTCAAGAAAGTCGCAGTTTGTCATAAAAAAGAAACATTTAGTTTTATGTGAAAATCACTCAATGAACTACATCTCCCAGGAAGCGAAACAGCGAGCGAGATCCGCTGCTCGTGTGTGTGTGCAGTCTGGTACAAAACACTCATGACGGCGTAACGTTACGATTATAACGTAAGGCTATAGAAACAATGACATTAGCCTCAGTAAAGTTAGCTTCATTCATGAGAGAAAATGTGCGCCTCTGGGGTTTGTAGTCTTTGTAATTATGTATTTTCATCAGCAGTTTTACATCAAACTACGACTTTCTTGACTTTAAAATGTATCTTAAATTGACAAACATCATATAAGTGTAATTCAGGGCACAATTCAAACCAGATCAAAGTATTTGTTGTCTCTCTCCATTGACTATACAATATTTTTCCGAAATAAGGGTCGACCGGAAGGGCTCTCTATAGTAGGCTAAGAACTTATTATATTTCCAATTCCATTTGTTTGCCTCTAGTGGCGCAGACATGACACTTCGCCTGCATTAATCACAGTCTGACTAGACAATTACTATTATTTTACAAATGATTGTTTATTACAAACAAGCAGGTAAGATCACCCACAAAGCCAGACTCTCCTGGAGACCTTATAAAGAACCTGACAGGTGTGTTATCAAGACATCAGCCAGAAATCCTCAACCATTTCAAAGTGACAGCTCTTATCTTTACAGCTGAGCCAACACCAAACCTCTGCCATACGCCGAGCCGCTGTCAGCCCTCCTCCAGCACATCCATCATGAAGAGGAGACCGTCCCACACACCTGTGAGTCTATCTGAACGCCTCGCACTGAAACCCTGAACAACACTCAAATATATCAAGGTGCTTTCGAACAAAGCATAAGTGAAGATGCATTTTTTCTAAAAATATGAAGTGCATTTGTAGCACTTACTTTTTAAAGGAAGACACGTCACCATTAAACCCGTATGACTTCTGTAAAATACAAAATGAAACATTTAGCAGAATGTTCATGGTGCTCGACATCAGCAAAAACATTATAAAATCATCATAAAAAACTAGTCATTTTAACTTAAAGGAGTTTTAAAAAAAACTTTTGCTGATAATTTACTCACCCCTGTGTCATCCGAGATGTCCATGTCTTTCTTTCTTCAGTCGAAAAGAAATTAAGGTTTTTGATGGAAACATTCCAGGATTTTCTCCATATAATGGACTTCAATGGGGACCAAAGAGTTCAAGGTCCAAATGAGAGTTTCAGTGCAGCTTCAAAGGGCTTTAAACGGCTCCAGACGATGAATAAGGGTCTTATCAAGTGAAACGATCGGTTATTTCACAAATAAATAAAAAACTTTAAAGTTTTATAAGCACAAACGCTCTCCTTGCTCTGTTCTGTGATGCGCGTTCGTGACTCTCATCCTCAAAACAAAACAATTTCGTTCATTGAATCAACCAAATGACACGTCACCATCAAACCCGTATGACTTCTGTAAAACACAAAATGAAACATTTAGCAGAATGTTCATGATGCTCGACATCAGCAAAAACATTATAAAATCATCATAAAAGACGTCATGTATTCTGAAGTCATTTTAACTCAAAGTTAAATAACTTAAGTCATTGTTCACTAAAAAAATAGCATTCATGCTAATTCCCATATGGATTTGGAACAACTTGAGAAAATGATGAGAGTGTGCGTGCAGAAATGATTTTGATAATTCAATTAATTTGTGCTGGGAAATGTGCCCAGAAACTTCTCAGGTTCTCTCGTTCAAAAATGTTTGCAAAATGGCGCACTCTAAAAATGCTGGGTTGTTTTAACCCAGCTTTGGGTCAAATATGGACAAATGTTAAAATTAAAAAAAAAATGTAACCCAGTGACTGGGTTTGTCCATATTTGACCCAAAGCTGGGTTAAAACAACCCAGCATTTTTTTTTTAATAACGTAAAAACGTCATTCCCTTCATGATTCTCTAATAACATACACTGTAAAAATGAATATGCTTTATCTAATCAATAAAATTGTGGCAACAGATTACAAGCAATATTATTTATTAAATTGAACAAATTAGAATTGAGTAATAGTTAAATCAAATTAATAATCGAATTAATTCTAATTTGTACAATTTAATTAA